AGGGAATGAAGAGAGAAGTAGGAGAAAGAGAAGGGGAGGAGAGGAAAGCATGTGTGACTGGGAAGATGTGTTTTATATTTAGACTCAATAAGTAAGATTCAATTGTTTAGAACCAGGGATATGGCTCAGCAATTCGGGGCACTTTCTGCCAAGTATGATGACCTGAGTTTTATCTGTGGGACCCAGATATGCTGAAGGAGAGAACCATTGCCCAGAGTTGTCCTCTGGCATTCCCAAGTGGGCAGTGGCAGACCATCCCCCAGTAAGATAAAAACAGCATAACACAACTTAAAAAAATAGTCATTCTTTGGTGAGGATGTATTACATACACAAAGGCTAATTTAATAAGGTTTTAAACCGTGTGTGTGTATTTGTGCATGTGTGTGTGCGTGTGTGGGTGCATATTTGTGCGTGTGTGTGTGCATATGTGTGTGTGTGCACGCGCACGTGCGTGCACACCCACATGGAGGCCACAGCCGGAGTGTGAAGGTCAGATGGCAGCTTGCAGGAGTCAGTTCCCTCCTATCATGTGAGTTCTGGGAATGGAGCTCAGGTCTTTCTTCAGGCTTGGAGGCAAATGCCTTTTCCCTCTGAGCAACCCCCACGTCCTATATTAATAATTTAAACAAGGAATCAGTAAGTAATATGGAAAAATATTTAAATTTTCTTTTATCTATTTATGCAGCCCCAAACCACTAAATTTTGTTGTCATAGAAACTATAACTTGATACATTCTTATTGCAAACTCCTTGTCCTATCCAACTCCTCACCTTATGTATGGTACCTACCCAATAAGTACTCGTTTAAAGAAGCAAATGAACTACATTTGGTGGAGGATATGATTTCCAAGTGTCATTTTGTCTATAATTTCTGGGCATGACAGGTCGCCCTTGTGGCACCAGGCATCGCTTCTGTGATCTCTGTGCTGGGTGGGGTCTGTGCTCTGATGATATAAAATTCCCTTTCTCCAGTCACACTACAGATTTATTTTCCCCAGATTTATTTATGACCCTTAAAGTGCAGGTGGGATTTTTCACATACTCTGATTCAGAGGCAGTAAGAAAGTTTTCTGTCAATGAAACGGTTAATCAGCGGTTAAGAACGGACTGTTTGGCTCTGGTGGTGGGCATGCACACATTTAACCCATGCCCCCATGTCCCCATGTCCCCGCACGACCTTCTCATCTGCAGCCCCCTGAGCTGCAGTAGAACACAGTTCCCTTCCGATCCTTCAGTGTGGTGCGGTTCCTGAACGCACAGGAAGCTGATAGAAACACCAAGGAGCGTTCGCAGCCCTTCCCAGGGATTTCTAGCCCAGCTTCACATCCACAGATACTCAGCTGGCTAAATTCTAAGGAAAGGCTGGTTACCAACTTCTTCTTTTGTCCGAGACAGAGTGTTACTGTGTAACCATGGCTGACCTCAAACCCACAGAGATCTGCCTGACTCTGCTTCCTCGGAGCTGGGATTACAGGTGCGCACCACCAACTTCAGCTCCCGGCTGTATTTCCTCCATCACTTTTTATTTTAGTTCATATTAAAATGTAGGATGCATCTCTGGAGTCGTCCTCGTCGGAGACGTCTACCTTTGAATGAAACAGATGCTGAGGACACCTTCTCTCTTGAGCTTTCAGAGATGGAAGAAGGTCACAGCCGACTCTGCTACTTCCCCTCTGCTCCTGGACTATGGCAGGAGAGCTACCCAGCTCTCTCTCTCCCCGCCCAGTGGCCCACACAACACAGAACCGTCCCCGGGGTTAACGGGCTGATTCCGATGACTCTCACAGGAAGTGCTGTGCTGTGGATGTTTGTGTTTCCCTCCAAGTCTGCTCCTAACTCCCAAGCTGTGCCGCGTTGATGAACCAATCAGATGGCCAGGGCAGGCAGGGCTAACCCGATTGGAATTTGAGCTCCTATGGGAAAGGCTGCCCGGTGCTGCCTAGTCCTGCCTACTCTGCCACAGTGAAGACAGTAGGCACCTGAGAACTAGGAAAACGGCCCACACTGAAACCTCAATGCTGAATTTCACTGCTTCAAAAAATGAAATAAATTCCGAAGTGGAAATACGTTTCCAGTGTTTTTAAGCTCCCCATTCCATGCAGCTTTGCGATAGTGGCCCACATGGACTAAGCATGCTACTCAATATTCAGCTTGCAAAATGGCAGTCTTGTTCTCTTAGTGTTTCTAACCCAGTGAGGTCAATTTACTCGGCAGACCAGCGTGGACATTCCATTCACTTCCTGGAAGCATGAAATGATTCTATAACCTACACATGAAAGTGCAAAATACTTAATATTGGCCCCATATGACTTTCTGCTGCTTTTCCTTTTTAATGGAAGTCTACCTAGATACTCTACATCAGACAAGTTCTCTCTCTTCTACAAAATGTTAAAAGCACAGGTATGAAAATATTACATAGTGCTTATTCTGAAGTTACCTTGTGTAACCTCTGCCTCTCTGGATAAACTGTGACCTCCAGGAAGGCAGGGCTGTTACTTGGGCTGGTATCTTTCCAACTTTGTAACCTTCTTAATGCCCAGGAGAGAATTCCAAACTTAGTAGATACTCTATAAATGGTTGTTAAACTTGGTTGAACCCACAATATTATTTTCTTTATGGTAGGTGCCCTAAGAAAAACATAAAATAAATGAATTACATTTCCTCCTTTCATGGCAATATATATGCTCTGGGCTAGTGAATATTTGCAAGCCTGGGTTAGAACTTAAAGGAAAGTCATCAGTCTCCGGAAGGAGAAATGCATTTTAAATCACAGGAGCAATAGAGCCTTATACGAGGGCCTCCTAGCAAAACTATTATTGATGCCTGCATGGCCCAGGTGCTCAGCGAGCACGAGCGAGTGCTGAGGGTGAGGTACAATGAGCGATCTTCACTAGTGTTCCATAGGTAGGCAATTCGGTGAAGTGCACAGATGGGAAGTTTGGGTCTGGGAATCGTATGTGGGTGTCATAATGCAAATAATTGACTTTCTTCCTGGAGAACATCTGCTAAAGCATCTGAAAGCAGTTGTTTATCCTGCTGCCAAGGCTCTGAGAAATATAATAATTCTCCAATGAGGTTAGAATTATCCGGGGGAAGAAAAACGGTTTTCTTATGTGGCTCTGTTTTTATTAAATCTTGTGGTTGTTTCTCTCTAACATGGCACATAGGAGATGTTCGATAATATTTGTTGAATGAATGTTGAATGAAAAGCAGAAACTCATTGAACAGTTGTTGAATGAATCATTTCCCATTTTTAGACTCAGAAGATACATTTTCAGAAAACAGTACACCCACAAAGTTTTATCCTGTCATATACCATTTTTATTTGGCATAAATTTAAATAATGTCAACCTTGCTCTGTACATTATGGGATGTAATCAGCATACATTGCTATAAGAGAAAATAGTCTCAACACTATACAAAATGTATGAAGTTAGGGTTTACTTTCTTAATATGGTGTTACTTCAATTCATTATTATGAAAATGGTGAGATTTGAATTGCGGGCTTACATAATTATGCTTGCTTCAATAAACAAAATTAAAATTTAAAACCCAGCTAAATGCATATAGTTTTAATGCATCTAAAAGATTCTACTGAGATTTAAAAGTGCTAGAATGTTCTGGGGGGTGTAAACATGACAGCAGAGCTTAACGGTGGAATTTCTCTGCATTATCCTTTTCTTGAGTTTCGGGTGGCTCTTTTTTGCATTCAGGTGTGAGAGAGAGACAGGCTTCCAAAGGCTTCCCAGGATTCACTCTGCCGAGTTTCAGTACAGAGAGAGAATGTTAAATAGCAGATGGAGTTTGAGCACAACTAAAAAAAAAAAATATTGCCATGTTAAAAAAGCATCATGTTGTTGAAAACCAGCCTTTCTGTGCGGATGGCTCCTCACAGACCACAAGAGAGAATCTGAATGAGCCGTGTGAATGAGTGAGGTACTAACTCAGGAGCTCTCCCCTTGCTGGCCACCGTGACATGGTTTAGGAACTCCACGCAGGTGCTCAAAGAAAATGGTTCAGACCATAATCGGTGTCATCTTGCATCCTTGGATAGATGGGGTAGTTCCCTCCTGTATGTAAATTATACACACGCGCACATATAACAGGGGATCACGAGCAGCAAAATACATTCGTGGAGAGTTATAAATAAAGTGCTAAGCTCATGGCTCTCAATCCCCGATTTCTTGGCTTCTGTTTGTGTCTGTCTCCTTGGCTTTATTAGAAGAGGAACGGCAAAAGCCATCTGACATAGACTCAGGCAGCCCAGAAACAGAGTGCCTGGCAGGTAAATACTATTTATTATTACACGACTATATTACTATTATGTAATAAAAACAACACGGTTACTCCTTGTTCATGAGGTTTCAAGGTTGTAAATGAAGCAAGCTTGGCAAGAGGGGTTACCCAAAGACTGGGGTGTTTTTCATTAGCATTTGCTTCTCAATAGCTCTGAGTAATTATTTCCCCCTTCACTATAGTTTCAGCGTGCACTCCGTTAGTTTAAACGTTACATTTTATGCAGACAGGACTTAGTGAGAATTAAGGCAGAAATTTAGGATAGGTTAAAATGTATAACTGATTATATTCAGCCATTAATGGGCTATTAATTAAGCCTATTGTATGTGACAAAATCCGCCTTTACCTTATTTTGTTTAATTTATTAGCACTGTCCAACAAGAAGCCACTGTTAAAAAGTCTAGCCAGAGCCAATTCTACGTTCAGAATAACGTTGTCAATATTTTCACCTACCACAACTGAAAATATATGCATTTAATTAACGGCATGCGCAGCCGCAAAAAGCCTTTCGCGTTCAAGCAGTGATTGCAACCAGCAAGCTTCGCCCGCGCCAGGCGCTGTGCAGACTCGGGTTCCGCAAAGGGCGCGGACGGCGCAGACTGGCCCCACCCGGCCCCCGTCGTCAAGCACGAGGCCAGCACGAGGCCATCGTGAGCTCTCGCGAGGCCTCCTGCCCCGGCCCGCACAGCGCCCGCCCCGCCCGCCATGAGCCTGGAGTCGCTGTTCCAGCAAATCCTGTTCACCGAGCAGCAGGCGGAGGAGAGCCGCAGGGCGCTGCGGGGAGGTGGGGGAGGGGAGGGGGAGGGGGAGGGGATGGAGGGGGGAGGGGAGGGGAGGGGGAGGGGGGAGGGGGGGGGGGGGGAGGGGGGAGGGGGAGGGGAGGGAGGGGGAGGGGAGGGGGAGGGGAAGGAGGGAGGGGGAGGGGAGGGGGAGGGGATGGAGATGGAGGGGGAGGGGAGGGGGAGGGGATGGAGATGGAGGGGAGGGGAGGGGAGGGTCTGGAGTCTGCAGTCGCACCCTCCCCCTCCCCTCCCCCCTCCCTCCCCTCCCCCCCTCCCCCTCCCCTCCCTCCCCTCCCTCCCCCTTGCACTGAGGCCCGGCGGGCGGGCGGGCGGCTGAGTGGGCCCGGCCTGTGTTCCAGTGCGGTCCGACCTTAGCCGATGCCGGGAGAGAATGACGGAGGCGGCGGAGAAGCTGCGCCGGGAGAAAATGAAGTTGGAGGCCAAGGTGGGCCTGCGGGGCGGGGGCGCCCGGGCTCTGTGTGCGGATGGAGGGGGGCGGCCCCCAGGCCTGCGGGTGCATGGGGTGGGCGGGGTGGGAGGGGAGGGGGAGGGGGAGGGGGAGGGAGGGGGAGGGGGAGGGAGGGGGAGGGAGGGGGAGGGAGACGGGAGGGGAGGGAGGGCGCAGCGCCATCGGGGCCGTGGCCGTGACTGCCGCACATGCCAGCCGCTCGCTAGGGAGCTCAATGCCCCAAATAACACACGGAGACTCTGTATTTGATATTACGCTGTTGGCCGGGTACTTGTTTCTTATCGGTTAGCTCTGTCTTGAGTATTAGCCCGTTTCTATGTATTTCCACGTGGTCTTACCGAGAGCGGAGGAATGGCGGTTCTGCTCTCTCCCATCTCTCCATGCTGACTCCTCCTCCCTACTTCCTCTCTCCTCCTTGTCTCCTAGTCCCGCCTATCTTGCTTTCCTATTGGCCAACAGTGCTTTATTCATTAACCATTTACAGAATGACATCTCCCATCATCCTTCTGTGGGTAAAATAATTCTGGAGCCTTCAGCACCCGCTGAGCGCCCATTCTTTCCCCTATCCCCAAGCCCTCCCTTTACTAAGTGCCAGCACGTACTGGTGCTTGCAGCCCCTGGCACTTTGAGAGGGTCATACTTAGATTTCTTTATCCACCTTTATTCTCCTTATATTGTTACTTAGCAAACATTGCGTGTGAGAACGTTCACTACGCAGAGTGTGATAGATAACAAGGAACGAGCCGTCCTAATTTGTCAAGTAGGACCTGTACATGTTTATGGGTTCCATGTGTTTCTTATACATTTTATAATGTTCAAGTCCAGGTTCATGCATCTGTGGCAACAGTCATTCTGTTTTTGAGTGTTTTCGTTTATGTTACTAACCTCAGTCACCTGCGATGCAGTGGGCTACCAGCATTTATTCTTCGTAACTATGAGTACATGCCAACCAAACTTTCCCTTCCTTTTCCCTTCCACCTAAAAGACACTGGCGGTCTTTGAAAGCATGAGTTGGGGTTATTATTCATGGAGCCGCTGAGCCCTTGTTTCCCTATATGAAAGAGGAAGCAGCCCCTGATGCCAGTGCCGAACGGTGAGGCTGGGCACACTGGCAAGAGTCGTCATGTAGCTGGCTTCTCCTCCAGGAAGAATTAGGATTCTTTGAAAGCTGGCAAATGGAACCCAGCAGAAGAAAAGGTCCGGAGAGAAAGAGAGACAGACGGACAGACACAGACATATCCGTCTTGGCAGCTAACAGTGTTCATGTGCCAGGCACTATTCAAAGGCGGCATTCATTCACTCCTCTGGTTCTAACAGGAGCTCCGAGGGGAACCGCCAACATTCCCATTTTGCAGGTGAAGAAGTTGAGAGTTTAAATGACTGTCATGATATATAATATAAAACCAAATAACTACCATAATAAAAGTAACCACTAAGGAAAACATAACTCTATTAAAACAGACACTTGAGCTCATCTTGAATATTCTTTCATGACATATAATAATGTGTCTGAAGCTTTGCATCTGGGGCAATATTTTTTAAAGGTCACTTAGTAAGCTTTTGTATAAACTGCATTTTTTTTTCCTGGGATTGGTGACAGCAGATAGTATATGATTTATTTTAAATGAAATCTTTTTTCTTTGTAATGTTTCCTTTGTAAGACAAATTATTATTCTTTGTAATACTTTCGTTGTTAGCAGCCTATTTTACCTGAGACTAGAAATGTGGTTTGGTATCTACACATACTTAAAGAAAATGATTTAATTGTTTGTGCTAGAGAAAACACAGCAAATCTCTAATATTGTTTAAAAATCATTCATTGAAATTACTAATTAATATAGGCTCATAAGTGTCCATTGCTTTTTAATCAGCTCATATACATGGGCAATGATATAATTGTATCTTACTAATAAAACTAGCATGTGAGGGTCACAGTTCATACACCATTAACTTGTAGTTGAGGTAATTTGATTTATAATTAGAGTCAAGATGTTGTGTATATATAAAGATTTTAAAGTGGAATTAAGATTATAATGTAAATGAGTAATGGGAAGAGCTAAAGAAGTAATCATAAATTGATTCTTTTTTTCTCAGAGTTAATTATATGTCTGCTAATAACAATGAAAATATATTGACTTGAGTATTTGACTTGGTGTTTATTGACCCATTTATCAAACAGATGAAGCAAAGCTGGAACAGACCTTGAATAGGGCAATCCTGGAGCTGTTGTATATTCTTGCACTCAGAAACTATTTGGGCATTTATTCAGGAAATGGCTTGCAGTCAAAAGTATTTTTAGGAAGTATAGTCTTCTCTTTTCTCTTCTTCTGTAGAACCTAGGTAGCATGTAATTAGAACTTGAATGATAGCATTTGCCTTTCAGGAGTGGATGAGTCCTTTAGATTGTGTGAGTGCTGCTCTGTGACTCAGGCAGCTGCAGGACACCTGGTTAACATGACTGGCAGCTATAGTGAGCCTGGCTAAGCTTGGTAATGTGAAAGCCAGAGGCTGGGAGCATGCTGTGGTCACCTTAATTCTTCCTTGTGTACCTAAAGCACCCAGCTGTTGATGGAAGATGTAGTGTGGAAGTCAGAGAAGCTAAAATTAAGCAACCTATTGAGTTTCATATATGTAAATATGGCATGTAATTATACTTTGGGTAGTTTTTTATAAATATCTTGAATAAAACCTAATACTGTGCCATACTCCTATGAGAGGGATAAATGGAGGGAAAGACTAGGCTATTAGTATATTTTACATATTTTCCCATTTAACTTGTGATTATAATATAATTACAACATTTCCCTCTTTCCTGTCTCCCTCCAAACCATCCCATAAACCTCTCTGCTCTCTTTCAAACTTTTTATTATATTTTACTATATATAATATATGATATATAGAAAAATATAAACTGCTTGGTCTGAATAATATTACTCGTATGGACAGAGAAATATCTTAAGAACATGAAATAATGCTTTATGAATTTTAAACACAATATGTTGGAATGAAGTAACAATGGCTCCAATTACATTTTTATTTATAAATGTAGACATTCTACCATCTTATTGAACTTGAGAAGTAGTTTTTTCGTACTGAAATATTAAGCCAAAGAAAGAATAAAACCATAAATTATTATTATTTATAATATTACAATGGAAGATTTTAGTTGAGGTGGTTTGTTTTCTTTTAAAATTTGTGTATTAAACAAAATGTATTCTATCCTTATAATTTTATGAATGGTTTAAATTTACTTAAAAATGTGGATGAAAGACGACTCTTGTCAGCTTATGGCACAATAGAAATTCTGCTTACAGAACACCGGGATGTTGCTGACTTGTGTAACTGGAGACCCAATATTTGATTCATGGCATCCCCATTGTCACTGATAACGAGAACCTTCCCTTTGTGGGTCACTGAAGAATAGTTGTTTTTTCTCTCACATAATACAGGTCTGAAAGGTGTTACCAGGCCATTTACTAAAGCTGCTTGAGGGACTCCTAAAGTATTAGCTTGTTCTGCGTCTGTTCGTTGCACCGTGCATCCTTCCTGAGCACTGTTCTGATCCCAGGCAGCGTCCCTGAAGCTTGGGGGAAAGTGTTTTAGGAGGAAAGTCCTCAAACATTTCAACCTGCAGTTCAAGGGTTAGAATTTAGCAGTCATCATTGGCAGGTGAGTCTAAGATGCTGATGTTTGATTTTGGAGACAGGATCTCAGTCTGTAGCTGGGCCTGCCCTTTAAGTCTGCATCTCTCCTAGGCTGTCCTTGAGCCTTGATGATCCACCTGAATTATCGGCACCAGACACTTGGGATTGTATTAGTCCAGTGACGTGTGGCTGTCCTGTGTCCTCACCCTCACATAGGTATTAGCACCTGCTAAAGTCATGAACTTCTCAGTTCAAAATCAGAGACAGGCAGGGGTATTCCCATTCTCCATCATGTAGATAAGCTTTTCCTTCCAGGATCTGTGATGATCTTGAGTCTTCAAGTTCAGTGAGGATGCCCCATGTTTTAGAACATTAACTGGTTAGCAAGGAAATGAGGAATGTGTGTCAGAGAGGCAACCATAGTGTTTGTGGAAAAGGTTTTAGTGGTAAAATCAGAATGACCATGTAGAAACTTTGCTGCTGTCTGAAATGGTCCAGGTTAATTATGGATAATCTCTATTATTCATTCTTTGTATCACATGCTACAGAACATTCTACAAGATTCTCCCTTGCACTGTGTTACCTCTCAGCCAAGGATGAATTACTCTATACACACCCTTTAAGGGCCTTTCAGGGTATAGAATGGACTTTTGTTTTAAAATATTATTAGTGGAAGTTTGGGATACCTGGAGGAAGCCTCCAAATGAACTGATAAAAAGGGGGCCAGAGACCAACTAGGTTTCTGTTACAAGGAATATGGCTTCAGAATCTCACGGGTCAGGTGGTACTGTTTAAAAATCATGACTTGAAAATAATTCATCTTCAAAACATAAGTTGCTAAAAAGCAACCTGTAGAAGGTATGTGAGTGCAGAAGTACCAAATATACAGAGCAAAAATCTGTCTTGTGAGTGTATGTAAATATAGTCAAGTATAATGACATTCATGGGATGTAAATAGCACATCAAGATAGTGATTGACCCTGTTAGGGGTGGCATATAACTGTAATCAGGGAAGGGTATACAGGACACATAAGCTTATGTAATGCTTTTTTTTCTTTTTCCAAGACAGGAACAAAGCTCCTGGGTCACTTTACAAAAAATACATTCTTTAAAGTTAGGAAACAGTGATTGGTAACTTTTCACAAGGTTGTTCTGTGATCATTGACTTAAGAAGATTTTCATTGCCCTCAAAAGAAACACTACATCAGCTAGCAACCACCCCATAGCGCCCTAAGACACCACCCCCACATCCTAGGCAATCCATTTCTTTTGCCTCTGGACATGTTGTATAGATGTAGGTACACAGTAACATTTTGTGACACATCTCTCTCT